AAAAAAGAAATTCATAATTGCTATGAGTAATTGATTTTTGGACGAAATTTTAGTAGTGAATATTCTTGGATGAAACTTTTTTAACTATTAATTATGTTAATTCTTAATTATGAAGTCCTAACATAATTCATGGTCACCAACAGTTTATTTTAAACTAGTTAATACCTCGGGCAATGCCCGGGCCCTTGAAATTAAAAAAATAAAATAAAAATTTAATATTAAAAGGAAATTAGTAGTGAAAGGATACATCATTACTTAAAAGAAAAATATAACAGTGAGTTTTAGGGAATTTAATCTCAATTATGTTAATTTCACAATATATGCATATTTAATTGTCTGGGGATACAATAAAAAACAACAAAATACTCGCGATGTTGTGTCTTATTATAGCCATGGTATCCGCTGCCATATATGATTCACGAATAACATGGATGACGTAACCTCACTGTAAGGAATTTGCCATAGGAGGTTTTTGCAATCAAATTTCAACTTGAAGAAATGAGAATTGTCTCATGTTACATAATACATTATCAAATGTGTTTTGCAAGAATACATTTACAAAAAACAATGGAAACTAAATCAATACCTCAAAAGTATATTGTAATGAAATTCACCCACAATGAGGCCAGTGAAGCCTAGCAATTAAACTGACAGCAAAAGTTATGAAGCCTATAGCAAAGCTCAAGCAAAAGTTATGAAGCCTGTAGCAAAGCTCAAATAAGAGTACAGTTAAGTAGGTAGAATAGAATTAATAGCAAGTAAACTTTCTTTAAGAGATCTCTTTATACTAATTCAAAAATTAAAGAAGCATTTCTTGTCATTATCCAATCTATCTTTCTATGCAAAGTGATGTTCTTGTTAAGTATCTTTTAGACCATGTTCAAACTTCCTTCACCAATACATAAATGCTCTTATCAATTCATAGTCACTAAAAAGTCAATGTAAAAAGTAGTAAAGTCAATAATGAATCCTAGTATCCTACATATATATATATATATATTTTATACTGCTGGATAATTTTGCATCTATACTTGTAAACAAATTCCCAATTCTAACCACTTTTAACATATGTAATTATGTATTGCATTTTACATGTTGCATTTTGTTGTCTCCATGATACCCATAACGGAGAAGGAAATAAATAGAGGCAAGGTAAAATGGTAAATCCCATAGCCTTAGGTTTATGTGCATCTAAGAAAATTCAGTTACAAACTATTGATTAGAAGATAAGGAAAATTCTAAATAATCAAAATGTTTTTTGCTCAGAAAAACAGAATTACTAACCAAAATTAACTAATAAAATGTCAAAATCCTTCTTTTAACTAATAAAATTAACATAACTAACTTTATAATATTTCATTAATTCTATTAATTAATTATTAATTGA